ATTACGTTTCGGCGAGACAACAGCGCCATCATCAGATTTAAAATTTACACAAACTCATGATTGGTAAAAATCAACGTTCTTTTAGGTCTTTGCCTCCTTGAAACCTTACATTTGTCTTTCGAGAGACAAATTTAAGGTTCCAAGAAGGCAAAGACCTAAAAGAACGTTGATTTTTACCAATCATGAGTTTGTGTAAATTTTAAATCTGATGATGGCGCTGTTGTCTCGCCGAAACGTAATCAAATAAACGATGTTTCAAGACAAATTTAAGGTTTCAACAAGGCAAAGACCTAAAAGAACGTTGATTTTTACCTATCACGAGTTTGTGTAAATTTTAAATCTGATGATGGCGCTGTTGTCTCGCCGAAACGTAATTTTAAAATTTTTACTTCACACTTTGACTGAGACCCAGGCAAGATAAGAATAACATAACATAAGTACACGCCGTCAGGAAAATAAATGAGATCAAAGTTATAAGCAATTAATTATTGCCTTTTCAACTTTTGATGAAATTGCCAATCAAGCTTTGATGAACTTTCATAGAAGCGATTTGTTTTCAGATTTTTGTAACTTTAATTACTTTTGTACATCAGTTTTAGGAAGCGTCCGAGAGCCGCACTCTGTTACAAAAAATTGATTTATTATTGTTGCTGTTACAGCTGTTATTGTTTATTATTTTGTGCCACCATTTCCAGCTGGAAAAATTGGCGCAGCTGATCAAGAGCCCCATACGAAGTTCTCAATGCGTAGTTTGATTTTACGTAGTTTTTTTAAGTAATTGCTGTTTTTAATTTAGTTGTCTGTACTTGTCCCTTCAAAACTTCCCACTCATTTCCTCCGTCCACCGTGCACAATCCGTCGTTTGCAGCGTTTAATTCTTGCATGGATTTCCACTTTGTTAAATTTTTGTCGCTTTTCCGTATTTAGCTAATATTCCATATATTCTTTGATGACAACTAACGCAAACTAACAATGACAAAATGTGCTCAAAACCCCTCAATTGTGTACCATCCGCTTTAAATAAAACCCTTAAAACTCGACTTGGGTTAACGGATTCAATGGTTTCACAGTTGCCCTGTCCCCAGCGCGGCCAACACGTAAATTTGGGTCGAAGAATGCCACGGAAGAAGACAAGAAGCAAGACGAGGAGATGAGGAAGCTGCGTGAAGCCCGCGAAGCACGACTGGCCTTCATCAACGAAGAAGAAAAGCGCGATCGCGTTTCCGCTTCAAAAGAAGTGGACGATGCCGTCAAAGCGAAGAAGGAAAAGGAGGAAGCAGCCAGGTTAGCTGAAGAAAGGTAGTTCTGATTCATTGGGCCAAACATCTCAGGCCCATGGAAAAGCCTAATTGCACACCTAAAAACGTTGATTGTTGTTCCTCACTTGTTTAGAGCGCTAGCTGAAGAACAAGCCCGACAGCAGGCGCTAGCCAAAGAAGAATCTAGGAAAGCGGAAATAGCCAGACAAGAAGAACTAGCGGCTCAGGCCGCAGCCGAGAGAGCGGCTGATCTGGAGAAGCAAGCAGAAGCAGCCAGACAAAAAGAGGCGAAAAAACAGGTAACTCGACGCAATTCAACGCCAAATCAATTCCTGCATCCTTGTTAAAATTGCAGGCTGACGCTGAGCGCAAGCGACAGGAAGAAGCGGAAAAGGCGCGCTTGGAAGAGCAAAAGCGAGCCGAAGAAGCCAAAGCAGAAGAGGCTCTGCAGGCGCAATTGCGACTGGAAGAAATAGCGCGCAAAGCCGAAGAGGAGCGAGAGGCTGAGCTCGCGCGACAAGCCGAAGAGCTTGCCGAACTGGCGAGACAGGAAGCGGAACTAGCCGAGCAGGCGCTGCGTGAAGCTGAAGAAGAGGAGCAACGGCGCCAAGAAGCTGAACTCGAAGATCTGCGCCGCCAGGAGGCGGAGCTTGCTGAACTGGAGCGACAGCAACAGGAAGAAGCTGAAGAGGCAGCAAAAGAGGAAGACGCAGAGGCTGCCAAGCGCCAAGCGGAACTAGAAGAGTTGGAGCGGCAACAAGCTGAGCTTGAGGAACTCGAACGAGCTCAGGCTGAACTGGACGCTTTGGAGGCAGACGCCAAAGCGCTGGAATCCGACTTGGGACCTCCCCCAGCTCTGGAACCCGAGCCGGAGATTGACGAAGCGGAATTGGCTCGGCAGGCCGAGCTGGAGGAACTGCGCCGACAAGAAGAAGAACTGGCCGAGCTGGAACGCGCCCAAGCCGAACTGGACGCTTTGGAAGAGGAAGCCAGAGCTATGGAGTCCGATTTGGGACCTCCGCCGGCAGCTGACCAGAATGAAGACGACGAAGATGATCAAGCCATCGCGGAAGGCGCACAGTCCGATGAGGGCGAAGAGTGACCCAATCTTCAACTATGCTATAATCAGTTTTTTTTTATTTGGCTTGAAACACAGCGCGCATTTGTTGCATTTTTCATGTACATAGTTATGGTCGTCTTTGTTCAAGAATAAATAACCCTGTTGTGTTGTATTGGGGAGTTGTTTTGGTTTGGCTCAATAAACTGTTGCTTAGTATTTACTCCGAGTGATAAATGAGCAAAGCTGCGGTTTTAACCAACCATTAGTTGAATCGGCTCATCTTGAACCTCCAGAGGTTCACGCGTGATGTTCACGTCCAGTGCTAGTGATACATAAATTATTATTTTAGGAATGCTTCACGCTATCGTGCGTCATGTTGATAGCGATGTTTTTTTTCTGGCAAACTTTAAGTTTACTCATCGGTTTGGGACCTCGAGTCGATGTAAGAAGTTCATAAATATGCATTTATAAAGTGTTTGGATCAAAACTGAGGAAGACATCGTCGGCTAAAGCTCGTGAACGCTCAAAAATTGCTTAAAATGAGCCGAAAATGTCTACTGTTTCGGATCTGAAACTTCTACCGTGCTTTTTAATGAGTTCGATGCATTCCTCGCTCTCGTGAGCTGAAAATCTCGTAAAATTTAAGACATTTTGAGGACATTTTCATTTTTTCAAAAAAATAACTGATCATTTAGCAGTCGTTCTATTGACGCTTAAAGCCTTACCGGTTAAAATCCAAACTTCCTGGCAATTTCTCGAATTTTCACTATAAACAACACAAAATAAACGAACGGTTATTGAATTATTTGCAGAATTCGTCAAATTTGATTGTTTTCTCACTGCACAAGGAATATTTTCCGCACCAAATCAGTACTTCTCCACTTTCAAAGAAATCAACAACCTCTGTTGCCGAGAAACCGTCCCTGGTGACGTGTTTCCGGCCACACATTAACCTGATCGTCCAATCGCTTGTCGACTCTTTGATTACAAGACGTTCACCATGGCAACGAGTAAATACAAACACATCAGCTCTGAAATCAGCTGCCAGTAAAGCGGTATTTATTGCAATTGAAGTTTTAAATTAACCGGTTTTTACACGCTCGTTTTGCAAAAAGTGTCTTATTTGTTGGAATTGCGTGTCGAAGGATTGAAGGACGCAAAAATGTGACTTTAAACTAAAAAATTCGCGATTGTAAAGGAAATGTTGACGATTTTTGCGACTTAAATCGTTGGTAGGATTTTAAGAGTGGAAAGTTTTCAAATTGAGACCCGCTGTATTGGAAAACAAGAGCATTCTACAGGGTGAGCAAGGTAAGAGTGCATTGCATTTTTTCAAAAAAATAACTGATTATTTAGTAATCGTTCTATTGAGGCTAAAAGCCTTACCTGTTAAAAACCAAACTTCCTGACAATTTCTCGAATTTTCACTATAAACAACACAAAATAAATGAACTGTTATTGAATTATTTGAAGATTGCGTCAAATTTGGACGTTTTGCATGGTGGGGAAAAATAGAGATCTGGCAGCTCAGCAAGATGGGCTTAATCGAAAATTTACTTTAAAGCTCTCTAGTTTTGTGCTTACCAAATTTATCCGGTTTATCATCGAAGTTTTAAATAAACCATCAGAGACAAGTAGAGACTAGAAAGTAGGCGTGAAAAAATGTCCCAAAAATCGCTGTATTTCGGTCTCTTTGCTATGTTTGTTGAATTATCCCAAAGCTTATGTTGCCATGTCGTTTTATTTATAGCATGTAATGCAAAAATAATGGTTTTGTTTCCTTATCTAATCCATTGACGAAAAACCGCACATGGTGTTGCCATTTGGGAGTTGATAATTAACGGCACCGCTGCTTGCTGCAATCGCTAACCCTACTTATGCCTTATTTTGACGGCTACCCATATAAACATTAATATATATGTTTTTTGTTTGAGATTATTGAGTTTTGTGATTTGTGGTTTGATATCGAATGCGTGATTGTGGTCAGTTCTTAGTTTGTGGCGTGTTTTTAGTTGTTGGTGGGTTCTGTTCGGCACGCTTTGTTTATGTTGCATGGCTTTTGTTACTGGGGTTTTCGGTATATCGGGTTTTCGTCTGTATAATGCTAGGAAATTTGTACAGTATATTAATTTAGTAAGATGCCCATGCCAGCAAGCAGCTAATATGGAGAGAATTTGTCGCAAAGTTTCGGTAAGTTTCAAAGCTTAATTCCCGAAAAATTATACGTCAAAAACCGTTTTTAAGTTGGTAAGAATCCAACACTATCCAGGGTATCGGACTACTGGGTGTCTTCGCGAAGATGTTGATCCTCCAGCAGCCGGGCAAAAAAATAAACAGAAAGTTGTAGATTTTTTTAGTTGACAGGTAAAAGTTTTTTTTATGTGCATTGATTGATTGTCTTAGTATTAGGATTATTCCTGTTAAACAATAAACAATTGAATTGAATTGAGTAAAATGAATAATAAGTTTCTTGTTGGTCTTGTCTCTGMACAAGGAATATTTTCCGCCCAAAATCAGTACTTCTCCACTTTCGAAGAAATCAACAACCTGCGTTACCTAGAAACCGTCCCTGGTGACGTGTTTCCGGTCACACATAAACCTGATCGTCCAATCGCTTGTCGACTCTTTGAATACAAGACATGCACCATGGCAACGAGTAAATACAAACACATCAGCTCTGAAATCAGCTGCCAGTAAAGCGGTATTTATTGCAATTGAAGTTTTAAATTAACCGGTTTTTACACGTTCGTTGTGGAAAAAGTGTCTTATTTGTTGGAATTGCGTGTCGGAGGATTGAAGGACGCGAAAATGTGACTTTAAACTAGAAAATTCGCGATTGTAAAGGAAATGTTGACGATTTTTGCGACTTAAATCGTTGCTAGGATTTTAAGAGTGGAAAGTTTTCAAATTGAGACCCGCTGTATTGGAAAACAAGAGCATTCTACAGGGTGAGCAAGGTAAGAGTGCATTACATCTGAACCTTCTAGCATGTTTTTTAATCAGTTCGATGCATTCTTTGGGTCCGTGAGCTGAAAATGTCGTAAAATTTAAGACTTTTGAGAACATTTGCATTTTTTCAAAAAAATAATTGATTATTCAGTAATCGTTCTATTGAGGCTAAAAGCCTTACCTGTTAAAAACCAAACTTCCTGACAATTTCTCGAATTTTCACTATAAACAAAACAAATTGAACGAACGGTTATTGAATTGTTTGAAGAATGCACCAAATTTGGACGTTTTGCATGGTGGGGAAAAATAGAGATCTGGCAGCGCAGCAAGATCGCCTTAATCGAAAATTTACTTGTTGCAACAGTAGACTTTCCAAGTGCCAATTTCTTACAAATGTCACTCTGCTTTACTCCACTTTTTATGTTGTTAATAATCTCGTACTTTTAATTTATTGAAAAAGCTTTGCATTTTTGTTTTTCCATTCTAAAACGATTTACATACATAACGCGGCAAAAAACAAGTCACTGTCTCTCGCTCTCACTAAAATGAACAACTCCCCAGGATTGGTGTTGCTGAGCGTGGAAGTTCGTTATAAACGGAAAGTGACTATACAACTAACCTAAAAAGTGATCGTTATATCCGGAAGTTCCTTATAACCAGTAAAAAAATACGTTGGTCTTTATGGACGACGTTTCAATTAAAGGAAAAAAGTTCGTTTTAACCGAAAGTTCACTATAACCGGGTT